TTTACACAAATCCAAACACAAAATAGTAATTTCACTGAGAAGAATAATTAAAAAATCAGTCTACATTGTGTCGTCTCTCTGGGTCCGGCCCCAAAATTTCGTCTACATCACATGCAATGTCCTCTAGTCCAAGGCACTGGGGAATCTATCTTCTGGAATGCCGTATCCAGCCCTGACATGATGCCTGGTCAATATTCCCACATGCCTCCTCCATTGCCTGTAAAAGGGCTACGCGTTGATGGGGATGACGGTCATAGACCTTCCAGCACACGTTGATAATCGAACAACAAGGACTATTTATTGCCATGTTGGGGAAAAAAGTTTGAATGGCTGTTTTCATTGTGTGGGGTCAGACAATCTTGGGGCCCACAGTATTGCAGGCTCTGCAAAAAATAATCCATGGAGATTGAAACAAAAAAGATGACGTGCAGAGTGTGCACTCTGAGTCTAAAACTCTAAATAAAACATTTAAAAACATGTTTTTAAAAGCTTGACTTTTATAGGAACTCCCTGAGACTCTCACCCCCATGAGTGTCACAGTGCTGTATTTTGGGAACCCACTGGGCTTGATTTTTTTAGAAACCGCTCAGTTCCTCATTATGAAGTCCACCTGGGTGCTGAATCCGCCGAATAAACATCCCGGGATAACAAGTCCGGGACAATACTATAATCTAATGGAGCAGACTGATTCATGCAGAGTGTAAAAGCAGATCGAACAAGCACTTCCAGAAACTTTTTTTGAAGGACACAGTCAAAGACAAATTAGACTGCAGAGGAAAGTCAGGGAACGCCTCTTCCTATTAGTGCCTTCATTTATTTCATGAAAATGCAGGGACGACATAAGATGTGCTTGTCAAGCGTAAGGAAGTCGCCTCCCAACTAATGAAGTCACAAGCTCTGGTCTACTGGGCTTCCTATCTTTAACTCAAGCATAACTGGTTTGTCTGTCCTGCATGAGGGACATTCTGAATGTGTGTGTCTTTTAAATTACTGACATTAATTGAAGGCTTTTTTCTAGAATACTTCTAAGACCTCACTATTATGCCGACAGCTGGCAAAACATGGATAAGGACAGACGTTTCCTTAATGAGTTGTGGAATCTTTCAAATTAAACTTAAAACCATATCCAAATAAGAGGAGCAAAAGTCTCCTCCTCTTAAAGCCCTTTTGAAAATGTGACATTTCACCCACATAAATAATCATAACTAAATAAGCATCAATCCCTTTAAAAGTTTGTGAAAAAGATTGTTTGAGACAATTTGTCAATAACGCGAGTAAGGAACCGGCCAGAAGACAAGGGACACGCATGGTTTAAATGCACCGGGAAGGTACAGCTGCTTGGACAGAGGAGAAAACAATCAGGGACACGGCAGACAATCCCAGAGGGGGAGAAACACACCAGAGCAGCAAGTGAAAACAACCTAGCGACACGAGAGTCGAATAAAACAGGAAATAATGTCACACCGTGAAGGAATCTCAACCGGACAGTGGGTGTGGTTTGATAACTAAAGTACTTTTGATAAACCTACCATAATTAATTATATCGTATTTTGAGGGTTGAGCATTAGCTAAGGAGTCTCTCGGACTCACAGATAAACACTTGCATCAGACCTTGAGACTGGCTACCACTAGACTGCAACCAGACATTGAACTTCTCACCAGCCAGAAGCAAGCACACAGTTCACACTGATACGGTAAGCACACTGATTTTAATTGCTATAAATATGAAATATGAAGGCTCTTTTAATTTGCTACATATTTTGTAAAATTATATCACAGAGAAAAGCAGACAGCAGCACATCATGCCATTTACTGAATATCGCAGGGTTTGTTCAGTTCACTTCCGATTTACTCACTTGTTGCGATGTTGCCTGAGGCGAAGTCGGTGCTGACAGTGTTGGGCAAGTTACTTAGAAAATGTAATTGTACTGTCAATCACCTCAACTAGGCAGATGTTTCTTACCTTGACAGCTTTGATGTTATTTTTGTTTGAAAATAAATAAATGGAATATCTGTGATATTTCAAATTAAAACAAAGTGTGAAGACTCGATTAATACTTTTGCAAACCACTAGTAAAGCTAAACAAATATGTGCCAGGAATCAAGTGTTGATATAGTAGTGTGGATATAGTAGTGGGGATGGCTGTGCCAGGCTAGTAATCTCTACTACACAATGAGGCCTGCTGGTGGTCATTTTGATCTGGGTCATACAATTCTATGTTATGTAGCTGACCCGGCCCCGGCCCCTCATCACAGTCAGGAACGATAATGTGGCCCCCAGAGAAAAAAGTTTGGTGACCCCCTGCTCATGATTCTTCTCACGTGTTCACTTAGACTTGGGCTGTATTCAAAGTTGCAGTACATAATAATTCCAGAATATATCAGTTTGTCAACCTTGCCTATTGTATCCCATAATGCAACGCGCTGGAAGAGTCGATGGTCACAATAATCATGATCCGAAGCTATTTATGTATGCTATTTCACAACATAAGTCAAGCCGTGATGCAGTTGGTGAGGATCATCGATGGTGCAATGGTGGAAGTTCACTAGGATCTGAGGGGACACATGAGCCTTCTTCAGTCTCCTCAGGAAGAAGTGGTGCTGGTGAGCCTTCTTGGGTTGAGAGTCCAAGAGAGGTCCTCTGAGATGTGGAACTTGAAGCTAGCAATACGCTTAACCTCTGTCCCACTGATTCAGATGGCGGAGTGTGCGCCACCATGGCTTTCTTGAAGTCCACAATGAGCACCTTGGTCTTCTTGGTGTTGAGTGCCAGGATGTTATTGACGCACCACTCATCATCAATAAACGAAGGAACGTTGGACACAGGGGTTTTTACAGTCTCTTTTGCGAGAGGCAGAAGGGGAAAAGACGTTGGCGTTCTCCATGACGAGGTCAGCGTCTTCCACACTGCCAAGAAATATGACCGCAGCCCCGTTCACTTCACGTTGCTGTGGCCGACCATCTCCCCCACTGCCAGGCTGCAGTCCTCCACCGAGCACACAAGCTGATCGGCTGCAAAATACACACTACAGGAAAACGAACACCCCAAATACGTCACACTTATCAACTACAACACTTATCAACATTTAACAGTCAATCAATAAACATAAAAGACGCTATATCGCTCTCAGCTCCACGCTCAACACTCCTCCACTCAGAGACTTGGGAGGGGATTTTTCAAAAAACACTGTTTGAAATTGGAAAAATTATAAATATGTAAAGTGCAGATGTGCTAAAAATCACAGGTTGCCTTGTTCTGTTTTATAATATACACAATTTATGCCATAAAAACTGGAGCAAATCATCATTAAAACACCAACCTTATTTGAAAGCGTCTACGTCTCCAATGCGTTTAGAAAAACGGAACTCTCCCACATGGAAAGAACCTATATGTGGATATATGCACATATAGGAAACCTATATGCAGTATATACTGCATATATGCGAATCTATGAAACCTATATGCAGTTTACATGCTGCATATATGCACATATGTGCTGCATATATGCCACATAAAGACTAAATTGTGGTGCCTATATGTGCATATACAGACCATATAGGTCTCCTGTATTACTTATATCCACATATAAGCCCTATGTACATACAAAATATGTCTTATACAGCTCATGGCAGGATCTGGTCATTATGTAGCTCATATCTCACTGTCATACTGTCATACATGATGCCTAGCTCATATTATTATCAAAGCATTAATTAAGAACTAAGTAAAATAAAAATTCTGAAAGAACTTGTGTAAATGAAAACACGTGAAATTAGTATCACGTGTATATGTGATGTTATGGAATTTAACTATGGCAATTAAGTGAGAGGAGATGGAAAGCTCTGATGGCTACACATTTTCAAATCTTTCTTGTATGAAGATAGTGGTAAAGAAGAAAATGTGTTTTTATTTTATTTTGTCAATCAAGCCTTTTTTTTCAGTTATTCACATTGCAGCTCATACACATCCACACATTCACATTAATGCAGTTTCTAAATGAATATGGCTGAAAGGTCATTAGTCTAAATGTAGCAAAAAAAAAGATTCATCATCATCATCCCATATCTATCTGAGCATTTCACTGTGGTTAATTAATTTGAACACAATGTCAACATTTCCGTACACGGTTTTAACGAACAGACACTTTTCTTTCCAAAAAGAAGAGCATGCGAGAAGAGAGGAGATGAGAAAAGAGAAAGAAAGAGAGAGGGAGGCATAGAGAGAGCGGGAGACAGGAGGGAGGGATACAGTTAGAGGGAGGTAGGGACACACAGACAGATAAGGAGACAGAAGCATTCCCGCTATGCCACATATGTTTACATGATACCTGTAGCTGGTAGCTTTGTAGCTAGCTTCTAGCATGTTACTTTCGTTTACGTCTTCGCTTAGTTCTTTCTGGAACGGGTGCTTCGTCGTTGACGAGGTACCTTTTGTAACGTACTGGATCCATTATTTTTCTTTATTTGTTGCTTATTTACCACAGACCGTAAAGCATAATGGCAAGCATGTATCCACTCTGCTCTGATCGGCCGCTACAGCGTCGCGTGCGAATGACGTCATCAATCGCGCTGGGCCGCTTGTTGATGACGTCATTCCCATGCAGGCGCGATCGCGCCGAAAGATAACGGCTGGGACGAAGTATAAAGTATTAAAAATGGAGACATCAGCGTTCCGCTATGTCCTACTTGAATGGACTGAGGGTGAGGATAGTGGGGCGCACAGTATTTTGACGATGGACTGTGTCCGGAACTTTTCAGTTCAAGATTTTTTTGCCTCGACTGAACAACACAAGAAGCTGGTGGAATGGCGAAAAAGCCGCCAACCCTGGCCGGTTCACCGAGCCAAAATTATTGACGTGGCAAGTAAGTTATGTTACATTTCTATTATGTATATCACATTAAATTTTGCTCGCACTAAAAGAAGTGAAAAATGGATCTTGTTACCTGACTAGCTTAGTATGCTGGCTGTTAGGTAGCATTAGCAAATTAGGTAGCTAAGTCTCTTAATTGGGACTAATGCTACGTTTGGTAACGTTAAACATGATTAGACAAACGTTTGCAGTAAACATTTCAATTTTATTGCACCAGAATTTGAAAAACCTCCAAATTAAACTGCGTGAGATCGAGGTGGAGAAAGAGGGCACACAAACAAAACGTCCTCACATCCCAAACTCAAAGTACATTGAGCAGCAGGGGAAGACTGAGAAGGCTTTAAAAAAAAGGTAACTGACTGCACCAATTGGTGCTTTAGTTCAAGTTATCTCCCCTCTCTTGTTTCTTAATGTGTAGGCATGTTTGTAGGTTTGTAATTGTGTCATCTATGATGATTTAATGTGCTTTGACAAGATATATGTGCAAGCTGGTGTAACGCAAGTTAATAAGAGTTGGGCTAAAAGTCAGTCTGTGTCTTTCTGTCGGTTGACAATAAAAAGGGAGGGTCTTCCAAATACAAGCACCAGGAGGGTGAGAAGCAGGAGGAGGGTCATGACAGACTTTCAAAGAACAAGGTACACTACCAGTCGTCCTGTGTGTGCTGTTACATTACAATACATTCATGGTTCCTCTGTTTCTCCCTCCAAAGGTTGCCGTGAAAAAGAAAAATCTTTCTAAATACGAGGAGGAGGAGGGAGAAGTGGATGATGAGGCGCGTCATGACACAAAGAACAAGGTACACTACCAGTCTGCATCCAGTGTGTGTTATTACATTGCAATACAGTAAAGATAAGTAAGACTTTTATAATAAAGTGCATTACCAGTAGCTGTTACAAGGTATGACACCAGCACAGTAGGCAACTTTGTCCTCTCTCTTTCTCTATCCCTCCCAGCGGGCCAGAGAAGAGGAGGAGCATATTGGGGATGAAGACGACAAAGTACCAGCCTCAAAGAAAAAGGTAGCCTAAATGATGACATCCGATGTGTGGTGTATGTTTGCTAGACAACCAGTTACATATAGCCAAGTGGGGGGATTTCTGCCGTAGACTTCTTGCCACCTTCCTCTTACATTTCTTATAACATCCTCCCAGAAAATCAGAATCAACCATTTACAAAAAAAGTTATATAACAATTAGCTGTTGTTCTTCTCTGTATTTCTCTTTCTCATAGAGCGCTGCTGAATTTAGAAAGCAACTGGACGAACAGATGTGGGAGAGAAAAAAAATTGAACAAATGCAAAGAAATTTGCAGGAGTTGCGAAATGAAGTTCAGTCTCTCAAAAGTGAAAATGCACATCTGAAAGATGTTCTGGAATGGGAAGCAACCTGAATGGTTCAAAAACGTGATGTGTGTGTATATATAAAAAGCATCGTCCGGACCCTGAAAGCACCGTCTCCACCTAACTGTCAAAAAGAAAAACAGCGAGCGCGTAGAAAACTCCTTCCAGCGCGAGCAGAGATTCTCCTCGCGAGCAACAAAGTTCACGTTTCGCAAGCGAGCAAATACCTCGCAGAGACGAACTTTTGATCGCGCGAGACAGACTTTTGCTCGCGGATGTTTGACTTTGGTTAAATTCTTAAGGTCATTTAATCATTATGTTTTGATCAGAGTTGTGATTAAAGGTTTGGGTGGGCCGCGAAAGATTTTCAGATTTCAAATTGGGCTGCGGCAATCTTGAGTTTGGGAAACGCTGGTCTATGGAAAAGAGAACTATGACCGGGTACTTTAACATTAACAAATGTATGTATCTTTAAGATAACTAGGGTGTAATTTGGATAGGGGGTGGATGTAGTGATCAATATATTCGGTGATGTTGAAGGGCTCGGAACCGCAATCGCTGACTATAGGGCGGCCAGAACAACAAAGGGAACCGTCCAGGTCCCAGGAGTCTTATGGATTTTAGGGAGCAGATAGAAGAGGCGGGGTTTGGGTTCATCCGGGCCGTCCAAGTATTGTTTTTGGTTAGGATGGGAATAAGGCTCTGGAGAGGGCTCTGGGGCAGAGTCAGAGACAGCGCCGTGGTCCGAGTGGGATCCCCCACTTCACCAATGAGGTCTGAGAACGCTTGCCGGTTGGCTTCTGTTGGTGAAACCTGAGCTCCTCTATTCAACGGCTTTATAAAACTAGAAATGGAGCAGCTCGGTACAGGTACAACATACCTGTTGTGTCAAACTCCCACACCCAGTCATTCATCCTCTGCTTGGATCAGCGCCTCTTATCCCGATCCTGCCATGCAAAGTACTTTAAAATATGCAACCAGTATATATGAAAAATCAACAGAAGCATATTTACCCAATCAAAGAAATGGAGATTTCCCCACACTATGTGGGTCCAGCAACACTCTGGCCACCCAACAGGAGACTGGCATTCCCTGGAAAAGTGCCACTTTCCCTTTGATAGGAGCACAGCCTTGAATTCAGAGCGCCACCCCATGGTGCCACCTGCTACACATGGCATAAACCGGTCCGGACTATGCCCTTCACACAGTTAAAATACAGTCTTCTTATCTGCTTCATGCTATGTTCCCTCAGCAGTGCCCCCCATCAGACCAGGGGTACCACTGCTGCTGATGTCCCTCTTCGCTCTGTGAATGTAAAAGGGTGTAAAAACACCCTAATAAAACGGAGCAGCACATTTAACTTTAAAACATTAGAATAAATTAAAAACAGCAGTATACAGTCCCAGGTTGTTTGCACGTCTCTCCATACAAAACCATCCGGAGCTCTATGCTGAGGAACTCGTCAGTAATGAACAGAGGGACATCTGACAATACTATTTTTGTTGCTGGTTGTGAAAATGCAACACCTGAACAAACAATTAATTCACCGTGCAACATGTGCAGCATCATCGGGAAATGATCTTCCAGGCGGCTCACTATAACCCGATGGCTGGCCACATGGGATACGAAAAAACGCTAGACCAGATAATGACCCGATTTTATTGGCCAGGCATCCGGCGGGACGTGCGCTGCGCTTCCTGCCCGGAGTGTCAGTTAGTGAACGCTCCGGCCGTTCCGAGGGCGCCGCTGCGTCCTCTGCCGTTGGTGGAGGTTCCGTTCGAGCGGATCGGCATGGACCTCATCAGGCCGTTTCACCGGAGCGCACGCGGATATCGCTTTGTGTTAGTCCTCATGGATTACGCAACGCGATATCTGGAGGCAGTGCCATTGCGCAATATCTCTGCAAAGAGTGTCGCGCAGGCTCTGTTTCAGGTCATCTCCCGAGTTGGAATCCCTAAAGAGATTCTGACTGACCAGGGCACCTCGTTCATGTCGCGCACACAGAGAACTTTACGGGTTACTGGGCATTAAGTCCATTCGTACTAGCGTGTATCACCCGCAGACGGATGGGCTGGTGGAACGTATGAATAAGACTCTGAAGTCCATGATCCGTAAATTTATTAGCGAAGATGAACGTAATTGGGACCACTGGCTTGACCCTCTGTTGTTTGCAGTGCGGGAGGTCCCCCAGGCCTCCACGGGATTTTCTCCCTTTGAACTTTTGTTTGGCAGGACGCCACGAGGGGTGCTGGACCTTATTAAAGAAAGCTGGGAGGAAGGTCCAAGCCCCTGCAAGAATGAGATCCAGTACGTCCTGGACCTGCGAGCGAAACTCCACACACTGGGCCGGATGTCAAGAGAGAATTTGCTGCAGGCCCAGGAGCGACAACAAGGGCTGTACGACAGAGGGGCCAGGCTGCGACGATTTACACCGGGAGAAAAGGTACTTGTATTACTTCCTTCTTCCAACTCTAAACTCCTAGCCAAGTGGCAAGGGCCCTTTGATGTCACACGGCAGGTGGGGGACGTCGACTACGAGGTGGTGCGGTCTTGACAGGGGCGGGGGTATACAGATATACCACCTGCACCCCCTGAAAGCCTGGAGGGGGGTGGATTCTGTCTCTCTGGTCTCTACGGTATCAGAAAGGGAGGAGCTGGGGCCGGAGGTTCCAAAAGCAGGTAATCATACCTCGCTCCCTCGAGAGGCTCATCTCTCCGAAAGCCAGAGGGCGGATGTTGCCAGATTGCAGGAGCGGTTTGCTAATGTGCTCTCTCCCTTGCCAGGCCGGACCGACCTCATAGTACACAGTTTCGAGACGCCCCCGGATGTGACGGTGAGGTCACGATCCTACAGGTTGCCCGAACACAAGAAAGAAGTGCTTCGGAGGGAATTGGCGAGTATGTTGGAGTTGGGGGTAATAGAAGAGTCCAACAGTGCCTGGTGCAGCCCCATCGTCCTTGTGGCAAAGAAGGATGGATCTGTACGGTTCTGCGTGGACTATCGCAGGGTGACTGACGTGTCACGGTTCGATGCCTACCCAATGCCCCGGGTCGACGAGCTCCTGGACCGGCCAAGCACTGCACGTTTCTTCACGACACTGGATTTAACCAAGGGCTACTGGCAGATTCCTCTGTCACCAGAGTCCAAGTAGAAATCGGCATTCTCCACCCCGTACGGTTTGTACCACACTTCCCTTCAGGTTGTTTGGGACCCCGGCCACGTTTCAGCGCCTCATGGATCGGGTGCATTCTACCTGAATGGAGAATGGTTTAACGTGCTCTCACAGACCTTTGATCAAAGGAGCATTGTGTGTTACCCTCATCTTCACCTGAGTTCTTATCTCAACCTGATTTATGGCTTCTCGTAACTGGCACTGAGGATGGTCTTCATGTGTATAAAAACTCGTTTTTGCTGCTCGGAGACACCATTACACAGAACGCTGGAATATGTGCTGGTGTGTTTGACCTCCTCCTTGCAAGCAACAGTTAGAGACTGATATCTGCGGAAAATTGCTCATGTAATCTTTTTCTCTTCTAAATAAATGTTAACTTTGTGACTTTAATTGATTAACGTGCTGCGATCCTTCTCATCAACCAACTCGGGGGGGATTGGAGATCCCGACACTCTAAGATCAATGAGAGGGATACCTTGTTCACGAGCCCAGGCCTCATCCACAAAACTTCCTTCGGCACCAGAGTTAATCAAAGCCAGGCAGGAGATGGCGGAGCCCAGCCACCGTAGATGGAAGGAAAAGGTAGTGCAGGTGCGTGACAGGGGCGTCTAAGGAGGATGCACTCACTAGTAACCCCCTCTCTACTGGTGAACTCTGGCTTTTACCGGGCAGGCTGAGAAGAAATGGGAAGGTGATCGACAGTATATACAAAGACGTCCGGTGATGCAGCGTTGGCGTTCCGCAGCGGAGATCCGTAACCCTCCTAGCTGCATGGGCTCCGAATCAGCGCTGGCGGAGGGTGACGGAGAGGAAGGCGCAGAGGGAAGTGACCCCTTCAGGTTGCAGGCTCTGCGGCGTAGTTCGAAGTGCTTCTCGACGCAGATCACCATGTCAATGGGGGGGGTCAAGTCGAGAAGGAATCTCGCGGGCTAAAACCTCATCCTTAATCTCTGCATTCAATCCCTCCAGAAATTGTGCCACCAGAGCGGGTTCGTTCCAGTCGCAGGAAGTCGCTAACGTGTGAAATTCAAGTTGGCGGTCAATCTCTTTCCCCGACAAAGAGGAGTCGAGAGGCTTCAGCCCCGTGTGCGGAATGGTCGAAAACTCTTGACATCTCCTCCTTGAAGAGCACATAACGGTCGAGGCAGTCGACGTCCGAACTCCAGACAGCAGTTCCCACTCACGCGCCCGGCCGGTGAGAAGAGAGACCACGAAGGCGATGCGGGATCGGTCACTGGCGTACCTCGAGGGCTGAAGTGAAAAAACTTCCGACATTCTGTCGGCTCACCCGCATAGCATGGAGGATTGTTCACTCTGGGTTCCGGCGCGTCGAGGTTCCGGGCCGAGGGGGGGATCACGAACACAAAGGTGAAGAAGCTGCTGAGACAAGTTGGTCACCTGAGCCGCGAGAGATTCAACAGCCTGATGAGTGGCGGCTAGCTCACCCTCATGACTTCCCAGCATAGTTTCCTGTAGCTCGAGGGCAGACTGGAACTGGTTCTCCCTTGCTGGAACCATGGTGGCCAGAGTATTCTGTCGTGTTTGTGAAGGAGAGAGGACCCAAACGCAAGGGAAGCTAACGTCTGTTTTAATCAACTTAGAATGTCCAAGGCAAAAAATGGAACTAAGGTAGCCAGTCTTTGGAACACAGACCAACATTAGATCTTCTCATCCTTTGACCTCTTTTTACCTCAGTTTACATTCAGGATTAAAGTGTGACAAATAATGATTATATATAAAGAAACCAAAAGTCCAGCATTAA